AAAGTTCTTCACAGTCAGTCCCCACATTTGTCGCGTGTCTTTCAAGAGACTCTATCACGATCACTCTGTTGAGATCCCCAAGATCGCAAGAAAAAACGGCATCGTAACCCTCTGCGCGGACTTCTCCGCCCTCACTGTAAGCGGCCCTGCAAGTTCCCCCAGAAGAAACTGTTTCTACTGGACTTTATTGTTCACGCTCCTCAACGAGACGGAGAACACTTACTGGGAGCACCTGTCTGCAGGGATGTCATGTCAGCCCAGGCATGTTCACACACGCTGGTTTGTTATAAACCCACTCATTCACGTATGAACTGGGACCCTAACGGCAACGCTTTCTGACTTTCCCCTTGCCCAAGGCTTCCACTTCCAAGGGCTGTAAGGTTTTGCTACCTTAGGGGGTAGAATTTTGAGTATGGGGGTCCTCACAGGGTCGCTATGATTGCGGCAGCAGTGCTGAGTAGGTGTTCGGTTGACTAAGACCCACCCCTGACAGCAGGTCATACGTAATAGAAGAACAGTCAGATATTCTTTAGGAAACCAGAAAGGAAGCAGTAGGATGATTTCAGGAGGCAGGATTGTCCAAATGGATTTTTCACGGGTGACCTATTAGCCACCCTTAACTAGATGCCCGAGAGAGGTTCAAAATAGATCTTTCCCTGAGAGTTTCAGGAAATGCTTGGCTGAGGGCAGCACCTCCACAAGGTGATCCCTGTGGACTAGGGATGTTCTTTGGGACAAGATCCTTCATTTCAATATGAAATCCTTTGGGGATATAAAGTGGCATTCACAACACAAGACAAAGAAGTCATGATGCAAACAGGAAGTCATGTGACCAGCCTGTAAGTCAGCGTGCCCTGGCTCACAGGCATCTTTGGTGAGGGTAACTCACCGTGGATTACAACCTAATGTAAAGAAAGCAAAACTCCTCACAACTATACCAATAGGTAACATGATGACAAACAGAGAAAAGATGATGCCTGTCGAGGACTTGTCTTGCTTGGATGCACAATCAATGCTCATGAAAGAAGCAGTTAAGAGATCAAATGATGCATTGCATCGGGTAAATCTCCTGCAAAAGACATCTTTAAAGTGTTTAACGGCAAGGATGTCACTTTGAGGACTAAAGTACACCTGACCCTACCCACGCTATTTTCAATAGCCTCGTGTGCATGTGAAAGTTGGGCATGGATTGAATAAGGTAGACCATAGAAGAGTCAATGTGTTTGAATTGTGGTGCTGGTGAAGAATGGTGACATTACCATGGAGTGCCAAGAGAACAAACAGGTCTGTCTTGGGATAAGTACAGACAAGAGGCTTAGAAGCAAGGATGGTAAGAGTGCATCTCACATTTACTTTGGACATGTCATCAAGAGCAACCAATCCCTGGAAAAGGACATTGTGCTTGGTAAAGCAGAAGAGGGCAGTGCAGAGGAGGAAGATCTTTGACAAGATGGACTGGCATCCCGGTTGCAACAATGGGCTCAACCAATAGTGGTGAGGAGGGTGCAGGACACGGCAGTGTTTCGGTGGCTGAGTCAGACTGGCTCGATAGCACCTACCAGTCACAGCAACAAAGATTTACAGCCTTGGAGACCTTAGGAAGGGCGCTATGAGTAGGAATGAACTCGATGGCAGTGGGGGGTGGGATCTATTTAAAATAGTAAATTAAAAGCCATTCCCTGGAGAAACCACAGAAATAAAGGCCAACATCAAAAGAATCAGGAAAATGATTTTACTGACTCATTAAAGCTACCATTCTAACAGGTGAGGAGACCCATGGATCCCCATCCAACTACAGATGCAATTCCAGGCATGATCGACTGGGTCAAGTTCTCACACCCTTTAATTTACAGCTCTTAACCTAGTCAATGAAGAGAGCATCTCAGCAGTGTGCTTCCCCATGCTCTCCAGGGTGCAGGCATCCTTCATTTTCATTACGTGTTTCTTGTTGCATTTTGCTGGTACAGTGGGGTTTACTGTTGCTTTGGTTTGTGTGCTTTTGGTTTGTTTGTTTTTTCCAAAAAAATAATGGAATGCATCACAAATTTGCATGTCATCCTTGTGCAGGGGCCACACAAATGCTCTCTGTATCATTCCAATTTTAGTCTGTGTGCTGCCGAAATGAGCACGTGTGTGTGTGTGTGTGTGTGTGTGTGTGTGTGTGTGTGTGTGTTTTCTTAACAAATTGGAAGCTTGCGGCAACCCTGATTCAGGCAAAGCTATCAGCCTCCTGTTTCCGACACGTCTTTATGTTCCGTTTTGGTCATTCTGATGGCATTTCACACTTTTTTGTAATGTTACTGCACACCTACTAATAAGATTAGATAAAAAGATAAGTGAATGTGGTCGTGTAATTACAAACCAAGACTTTCACGGACAAAGCGGTACAGATAAAAAAGCAAAGGTGCTAAGAAGAGAGCCCTGTGAAATTTGAATTAAAATGTCATGTTTTATAAAAGCGCACTCATTTCCTGGGCCTGTGAACTGAAACCCCCTCCAGGCAATAGCACCCATGAAGCTGTGAGCACACCTGTCACTCAAATGTTGGTTCCTAAACATAATTCTCCCACTGCAAGGAACCAAGACTGACTCCTTTGGAGATCTGCCTGGGTTCAGTTCTGGGGGCAGGAAAAGAAGGTGAACCCTGGGCCCTCTCTTAGCTCCAGGAAGCAAGGAAACAGACAGACAACAGGGGCATGTCACGCGGATAGAGAAGTCAACTTGGCCAAATTTGAGACAACGTGAGCATCAAAAGAAGTTTTTATTTAATATATTTAATTATGAAACTGTAAAACCAATGAGCCCATAGTAAAACTTTAAAAATTAAAACAAAGAGTAAAAACCCATTGACCAGCCCCCCGGAGGAATTTCAACAACTCCTTCACTCACTCCCACTCTCTGCCAAGGAACCCATTTCAACTCGGAGGGGCCCTGTGAGACCCCGAGAGCTGTCCCTGTGGGTTTTGAGACTGCGACTCTTTACGGAGTACTTCCTGGGAGAAGAGTTTTAAAGAAACTGTCAAGCGTTGGTCCCTTCTTTTTTGGAGGCTCTATAGTGTGCCCCGGTTTATGACCAGAAGCTTTTCTTGACAAAGAATGCCAACTACAAAACCCAGACATCCTGACCAACCGAGGAAGCCAGCGCACTGCCCGCTCCCAGTGAAAGAGCCGGTGCAGACAAGGCTCATCACAGGACGTGACAGCTGTCCATTGAGAGGCCATTAAAGCTATCCAAGGGCAGGAGGTTCACGCCGTGCTGAGTTAACACTCCACACATTACCTGATAATGGTACAGGAGTAAATGTACCCTTTCAAAGGAGTGACCTGACATTGTGTGTGTGTGTGTGTGTGTGTGTGTGAGAGAGAGAGAGAGTGAGAGAGAGAGAGAGAGAGAGAGAGAGAGAGAGAGATTTAACCCTGGATGATGTAAGTGGTTATTGCCATTGACTTTTACTAGAAAGCTTGGAAGTTGGAGTCCACCAGAAGCCGGACAATCTAGTTCTGAAATCATCCACTGGAAAGCTATGGAGCACACACCTCTACTCGCACGCTCACATGGGAGCCTCCCCAGTGGAAACAGCACCAATGGACACTGGTAACGGCCACTGCGAAGTGGAGATGCTGGACCTTGGACGTGTCTCACAGATGTGATGTGGACTACATGGCATCGTTTATAGAGTGATTTTGCCCGAGGTGAGGAAGCTTCATTAAATCAATCCCCTGCACAGGTTCCCAAGCTTATTTGGTCTACTGCCCCCTTTTCAGAAAAATTAAGTATTTAGCACTCCTTGGCAATGAAAAGTGTTTGTACAACAGTCAGGATCAAGTGCAGGTAACCACTTTTGCGGTCCCACTGGGTTGTTCCACTCCCCCCAGGAGGTGGTGTCACCCACTTTGGGAAGTCCAGAGAGTCTACCTAACTTTCAGTTGACAGAAAATACAGGAGAAAGGAGAGTAAATTAAAGACTAACACCATGATGTAAGCAAATAAGCCCACCATGTGGGCCATTCCCCAAGGAAGTTAGCCTACACTCTCATGATCGTGTATAAAAATGGATGAACTAAGCTAGATTCAAGATTGTCGATGATCACACCTAAAATTAAAATACATCTTAAAGACAGCTAAGAGAGTAAAATTTGGAGAAATACCGGGGGAAATGTTAACCAGGACTATAAGATGTGATTGGAAAATTCCTGTTATTGTTTTAGGTGTGACAGTGTAAACTGAAAGGTTGGCAGTTCAAAACCACCAGCCACTCTACAGCAGAAGAAAGATACTGCTTTCTCTTCCCATACAGATTTACCGTCCAGGGGGCAGTTCTACTGTCTTACAAGGTCACTGTGAGCAGAATCAGCTCCTCACCAGGTCAATGAGTTGGAGGAGAAAGCATACTTGGGGTGAGGCAGTAAGTTAAAAATTACAAGCATCCCTCAGAGATACTGTTTCCAGTTCCAGATCATTGCAAAAAAACAAACAGAACAACACAGCAAGTCACATGTGAAAAGTAAGTTAGGGAAGCCCTGGTGGCATAGTGTGTTGCCTCTTGGGCTGCTAATCACAAGGTCAGCAGTTTGAAACCACCAGCCACTCCACGGGAGAAAGATGAGACTTTCTACTCGTGTAAAGAGCTACCATCTGAGAAATGCACAGCGGCAGTCCCTGTCGGTCCTGCAGGGTCACTGTGGGTCAGAATGAACTGGATGGCAGTGAGAGCGGTATCTAGTTCGTGTGCAACAACCTTATGAAAAACTGCAAAACACCGTGCGAATTACCCAAATGTGACACAGAGTCACAGAGTGAGCACATGTGTGCTGCTAGGGGGAAAAAGGCTCCGATAGGCTTATTCAGTGTGGGGTTGCTGCTGTGAAAAATGCAGTGTCTCGGTGGGGGCCGGGGGAGTGTGTCACAGGAAGCCAAAGCATGCTTTACTCAATCTAGGCAGTGGGAATATACTGTTTAGTGTATAACTCAAAGTTTCTGGATATTTAATTTTTTTCAGCGTCTTATATCTACAGCATCACCTATGAGGTCTTCTCGCTAAAGGTGATTAACTTTAACCCATGAAACTTTGGGATGTAACTTTTCCTTTACCAGCCACCTTAAGAACTGAAGAGTACGCTAAAGGGCATCGTGAGGTAGCCCCTTCTATAAGACAAAGGGCCAATCTTCCAGGTTACTTCCTAAAGCGAAAGGCAGATACACAGTGGTTCTGAGTCACCGGCTCTAACCCAAACGCTGCCCTTCAGGAACCCTGGTGACATCACCGGCCAGTGTATCTCATGCAGAGTGACAAGCCATCTGTCAGGGAAGGCTTGTATGTTGCCATGATGATAAATGGGTAACAGGAGAGCTTCCCGACTAATGCAGACTAGGCAGAAAGACCTGACAAACTACAGTAAAATCAAGGCTGAGAAACTGTGAAAACTGTTCAGTTGTGGCCGACAGAGCAAACATACCACAGAGCAACCAAATCTCTTGGAGTGGGATTTTGACTCAAGTAAGACGCAGGCCAGGGACCCCTGGTGGTGCAGTGGTTAACGCACTTGGCTGCTAATCAAAAGTTGGGTGGTTTGAATCCACCAGCTGCTACATGGGAGAAAGATGTGGCAGTCTCCTTCCACAAACAGCTGAAGCCTAGGAAACCCAATGGGGTAGTTGCCCTCCATGATTACAGTGAGTCAGAATCAATTCAAGCACCATGGGTCTCACAGGAGGCAGGCAGTGCCGTGGTGCTGACAGAGTCACAGCAGTGCTGTCTGCTGCCATCTGGGAATGGGACACGGCTGCCCATTTTCCACTCAGGTCAAAATCCCACCTGAAGGCTCTGCAAGGCTTGCCTTCCGTCAGCCATGACAGAACTGCTCTGAACTGGTTCAAAGCCCCGAGTTACACCCGTGAACGCTGGAATGTGTGAAAGCCAAGCAATAGGGGCAGATTTTCCATGAAATAGGGTGGAGGAGAAGAGTGGTGACCTCACCCTGTCAAAAGAGCATTTGTATAAAAACTGTTGAATGACAATCCAATTTGCTGTGTAAACTTCTACCTGAATCACAATAAAGTATCAACGACAGCAACAAAAGTGGAAAAGTTGCCAGACCTGGAAAAAGAAGGCAATCCGTGGGGCTGTGGCTCTTGCATCCTTGTGCTGAGTTAAGTTGACCATGACTGACAGTTAGACGTATCCACTTGAAAGGAGCCCTTAATGGGTGCTGTCCAAGTCTCTGATTTAGTAGTGTAAGCTGTCCTTTAAGTCCTGTTCTGTTTGTCTGACTGGGTCATTAAAACCACAGAATGGTGCACTGTGGTAAACTGCTCAGGGCTCTTCTAACCATAGTCTTTGCTACTTTTACCAAACGACGTGGATGGTTCCGCTTGAGTGACTGGTAGCAGAGTGAATGGTGAATGCCGTCTGGCTGCCATCCCAGAAGTTTCAGCCTATTATCTGACCTGATTTCATCAGCTTCCACAAAATTCCACAAATATCTCTATTATGGAAAAATTAGCCCTGGTAGCATCATGGGTTTTAAGCATTGTGTTGGTAATTTTAAGATCAGTGGTTCAAACCCACCAACTGCTCTGAAGAGAAAAAGATGAGACCAAGGCTGTCTGCCTCTGCAAAGATTTAGTCTCAGACACCCTAGGGAGCAATTCTACTCTGCCCTGCAAAGTGGCTAGGTCAAGGTGTATTCAGGAAGAAGGGATAGCTTAAGACAGCTCAGGTCAGAAAAATTGTTGGAAAACATTTGATTTAACAGGCTATACCAAGGACAATTGAGGGGGTTTTTTTGTTTTGTTTTGTAAGTACCTATCAATTGCCAAACAGATAAGGACCCCCGGCCTTGTAATCTTGCCCTGGGTGAGGAACAGCTTAATCTGCCTGAAAGATCACACATTTGCCATTGCAGCAACAGGCTGGAGGTCAGACGACAGGGCTGAATACAGCCACACAGCTGCTTCAGGAGGCCCCGAAAGGAGCGGAAACAACCATTTGGTTCAGAAAGAGACACGTGCTCCACTGCTTTGGACAGAGGAATAAAGAACTATGCAAACCAAGTTGGCCATCTGCCCTCCAAGATGGTAATCTTGGAAACCTACTATGAAGTTCTGTGAGTCAGAATCAACTTGGTGACCATCAATTGGGGGGTTGTTTTTGTTTGTTTGCTTGCTTGTTTGTGTGCAAGGTTGATAGTTCAAGTCCACCAGCCACTCTAAGGGAGAAAGAGGAGGCATCTGCGTCAATGAAGATGCACAGTCTCAGAGTCCCTATCGAGAGAGGGTTGCTATGAGGAGGGATTGGCTCCCTGGCACTGGGCTCGCATTGCTGCGCTAGGGTTTCTTTGTGAAAAGGGCACAGGGGCAGGCAGCGATCCATTCTGCTGTCCATGGGCCTGCCGTGAGTCAAAGCAAGCTCAATGATCACCAACACCGTGGTTTCTCCACAGACAGACTCGCCGCCTATGGCCTGCGCCGCCATCCCACCCTGCTGAAGAAATAAGAGGTCCACCCTGCCTCACTGGTGGGTACCAAGAAAGGGGTAGAAAGGTAAAAGCCAAGGGAGACGGACACTACGTCTTCCAGGCGCTCCACGAGGTAAATGCTTCTTATGCAAACCTCTTTCCATAAACCCCGCCAAGTGAGTCTCCTCCACGCTACCATTTTACAAATGAGCTAAAGCTCAAATGAACCCTGGTGACACACTGGTTAAGCACTCAGCTACCCACCTAAAGGTTGGCCTTCAAACCCTCTCAGCCGGCCCATGGGAGATAGCCCTGAAGACCTGTGTCCGAAGAGATGACAGCCCATAAAGGCCTGGAGGTGCAGCTCCCCTCTGCTGTACAGGGTGATGATAACTCAGGAGTTCCAAAAGGAAGCACAAGCCCAGGGCGTTCTAATCAGCTGCCCAAGGTGGCCCACCAGTGGTTGAGTTCAAGCCCACATCTGTCTTAACTCTGAAATCCACATTCTCTGCTTTAATCCTCATGTAAAAACAAAAACAAGAAAGACGGTAGAATAGCTCAGTCTTGGAGAACTACACTCTAGAAGGGCAGGTTCAAAGACTGCGCCCACCAATGCTTGCCCTCTGCTGCCACACACTTCACAGGTCACACTAGGCAGAGCCAGACCCAGAGAAGTGTGTTCGGATGCCATTAGGAGGAAAGCTGCTATATTCCAGACTCCCAGACCCCAAAGCAGGGCCGCCCCCACCGCAGTCAGCTACCTCGCAGACTCATAATCTTGCCCAATTCAGAAAGGAGAGAATACAGAAGGGTTTCTGTCCTCTGAGTGACAGGCCCCCTCCCAGCCCCCCAATCCCGCTTCACCCTGAAGCTGGCACTTGGAGTTTGTCGTCCCGATGATGGTTCCCTCAAATACCTAATGTCCAACAGGAGGCGGCCTCCAGGAGGGCGGTGCTGCTGTAGAGGGCGTGCATGTACATCAAGTGGACCATCAGCTCCGCCAGCCACCACCAGCAAAGGAGGCGGCCCAGCCCCAGAGCCAGCGCACGGAGGTTGGTCCACAGGGAGCAGGGCTCTTGCAGCCGCATCTAAAGTGGAAAGGAAACCAGAGATTAGATTGCATTTGTAAGTAGCCCCTTGGGGAGGAAGCACTCTACCTTGCAAGTCTGGCTAGACCAGAGGATGCACACTGGTACAGATAGGAAGTGGAAACACAGGGAATCCAGGGCGGATGA